GGCCGCTGCCCCCCGCGCCCGCGGCCGCCGCGTCATCCCAGCGGAAGTCCACCGGCCAGCCGCGGAAGTTGTAGGTGTAGTTGGCAGTCAGGTAGACCTTGAACACGTGCAGCAGCGCCTTCACGAAGCAGACGACGCACATGGGCGTGAGGCCGCCGCGCTCCGCAGCCCTGCGCGCAGCGCCCGGCTGCACAGGTGAGCTCCGCTGGGGCTGTCTTGGGGAGGCCCGCTTCAGGGCTTGGTCTTAGCGGCCTTTATTACCTGGGCCTTTCAGGGCCCAGGGGCCGTGGCATCTTCACCAGCTGGCTTTGTGAGTCACTGTTGCTGGGGGGAGGGGTTACACCCTGTGATGGGCTCACAAAGGGTTCCCAGGTGTGGGGGGGCCACAAGTTCTGCCCCACCCCTGGGACACAAGCCTTAGGACCCTGAGGTGGCCAGACCCTTCCTATGCCCTTTTTGCCTGTATCTCCCCTGTTCCTGCTTCATCCACCCACACCTTGAGCAGCATCCACTCCTCCTCCTTAAACTGAAGGTGGACAGAGAGGCAGGAAATCCCCACCTCTGGAGGTACCCACACTGGCGGTAAAGGGAGCCAGGGCAGGCCTAAGCAACTGTGGGGTCAGGCTGTGTGAGCGTTTGCAAAGACAAAGTAGTCTCCTGGAAAAGCTGGGGTGTCATGGTTCCCTGCCCAGGCCTGTGCTAGGTGCCCCCAGCCTCCCAGTGCACTGAGCAGCCCAGGAAACCCGACACTGCTGGCTGGTGGGGCTCTGCTGGGGCAGGGAGGCAGCCTGTGCTCATGGTTTGCGGCCCCCACCCCTCCACACGTTCCTTCTCAGGAAAGGGGACGAATTCAGTCTGGAAATCCCCGCCGGTTCTGGATCCTCTTTCCACTGGCGCCAGCACAGCCGGTGACCTTCTCCAGGTGGGCCCTTCCTGGCCAGTGTTCCTCATTTTCAGCCCCTGGTTGAGCCCTCCTCCGCCTCAAACCACCCCACAAGCTGCATCTTCCTCTTTTCTAGAAGGCTCTGGCGGGTTCCCCCTTTTCTCTACCAGAGGGGGCCAGCCCACCTGAGGGCAAAGGTGGCAGAGTTAGAGGCTAC